GATAGATAGATAGATAGATAGATAGATAGATAGATAGATAGATAGATAGATAGATAGATAGATAGATAGATAGATAGATAGATAGATAGATAGATAGATAGATAGATAGATAGATAGATAGATAGATACATAGATACATAGATAGATAGAAAGATATATAGATAGATAGATACTTAGATAGATAGAAAGATATATTGATAGATAGATACTTAGATAGATAGATAGATATAGATAGACAGAAAGATAGATAGAGAGAGAGAGAGAGAGATTGATTGATTGATATCGCTTTATTTACCTAATCTCTCAAGATTTGGTCTCAAGGACCACTCTTATATCTAAAGAGAAGTACAGATTTATTATTACAATTGCTCTACTCAATCATTTAGAAGTACATAGAACAAAAATATTCCTTGGTTTTACACTTTGACCAATTCATTGTATAATATACATAATCGGTTTACATATTAACAAGAAGGCGAACGAAAAATGACATAACAATAACTAAAAAAATTAAATTTTACTTTTCAAAATAAAACATAAAATTTCTTCAGGACAAAGTAAAATAAGTGAACTTTCTTTTACAGGGTATTTACAACTACTTATTAACAAAGGGATATTAAAATTAGAGAGAGAGAGAGAGAGAGAGAGAGAGAGAGAGAGAGAGAGAGAGAGAGAGAGAGAGAGAGAAGTAGATAGACAGATAGGTAGACACAGATAGATAGGTAAAAAGACAGTTAGATAGATAGATAGATAGACAGATAGATAGATGGTGATACAGATAAATAAGAGGTGATACAGATGATAAATAGAAAGAGGAATAGAGATAGGTAGAGAAGATAGATAGATATTGATACAAGTAAATAATAATAAATAGATATATAGATAGATAGATAAGTAGGTTGAGACGAGAGAGAGAGAGAGAGAGAGAGAGAGAGAGAGAGAGAGAGAGCGAGTGAGAAAGAGAGAGAATGAGAGAATGATAAAGGAAGAGAATTATCCAAACAAATAAGTGGCAGATACGTTGTGAAAAATAACAGGAATGTGAGTGCTTCGTAGAAACGTAGAGTGGGTGAGAAAATAATCTAAAATTGGAGAAAAAAATAGAAATGGCAAATAGGAAGTCAGACAAAAGGGAAAAGAAATTCTCTCTCTCACTTTCAGTCTGTTTCTTGTTCTATTTACATTTTGTCACGTATATTTCCTTCCCTACACACTCTTACTGTTATCATTTAGAATTCAATTTGTCTCTCTCCATATTCCTCTTTTTTATCCCTCTCCCTCTCTAACTCTCTTTACTTCTCTCGCGCGCGCGGGCACGCACCACACACACACACATTTATGGTGAAAATAAATTTTTATTTATTAATCTCAACGATTTGTAGGATATTTTACCAGTAACTATTATAATTAATTAAGGTTTTCAGTCGAGATAAAAAAGTCAATGGCACGAGCGGGATTCGAACCCACGATCTTCGGCTAGATACGCCGCTGCTCTACCACTTGAGCTATCGTGACCTCGATCCGCTCGGACATTAACTTCCTATCCCAACCGCACCTTTTGAATTTTCCCTCCTTTTTGCCATTTTGGAGATCGTGTGTTCGAATCCCGCTCGTGCCATTGACTTTTTTTATCTCGGCTAAAACCCTTAATTATTAGTAATATATTAATTGGTCAAGCGGACCACGAAATTAGTGATAAGAATAACTATTATATCGAATCATATTACAGTTTCTACTGCCTGTTCCATTTCGGCACAGATGCAAAGTAAAACGATAAAGAACCTAGTCTAAATTTTCTTTCTATGATTATTCTGACATTGGTTGCTTTTAATCATGATACAACAGTATTGAAATCAAAATAAGAATAAGATGAGTATAACTAAATTTTTGCGTATTATCTTGTGTTGTTTCACATAAAATGGTTCTCTCTCGCTCTCTCTCTCTCTCTCTCTCTTTCTCTCTCTCTCTTTCAGTATTTTGCTCTTTTGCACTCTCCGCCTCTCTCTCCCTCTTTCAGTATTTCGCTATTTTGCTCTCTCCCGCCCTCACACCCTCTCTCTCTCTTCTTTCCTTTTTCATTCTTTTGTTCTCTTTCGTTTTTTTCTTTTCCTCTTTCTCTACCGTCTATTTTTTCAAACTTCGGTTGTCATTAATTATATTTGTAACTAAATAAAGTATATATAATTAAGCAAATCTGCTGATTGTGATTTCGTAGCGTTTGTAGTGTGAACGACGGTCACCCGTGTCATATGGGGGATGTTTCGATCAGCCTTGATCGCATGGATGGTGACAAAGGGGACAATGATGATTTTTGTATGGAGGATGTTAAAATGAAGTGAGTGAATTCGATACAGGGCTCAAGTTTAATAGTTTGACAAGGTACATTTCCAAAAAAGTTTGTGGTTTAGTTGTAGATACAGTAATATTGTTGACGAAGGGTGAAAGTATATGGTGGGATGAATTGATGTTGATGAATGCTATCAGGATTAGGAGAGAAAAAAGTATGCAGAAGGGAAAGATCAGAAGTGTAGAAAATAAAGACGATTCGTGTCAATATACTTCCTTGAAGAACAGCAGTGTTGATAATATAAATAGGTTTATGGAAATCTTTCACGGTACATTGGTAAAGGACGCATTCTTTTCAATTTCTACTGCAGGCCCAAAAAATGGAGAAACATCCAGGAAGACGGACAGTACCTCTTTAACATTAAGGGGGGGGGGGCTTAGTTTATAATCAAGTTGTGATGGCAGATTGATGTCAGGAAAAAGTTTGATGGAAAAGTTATCGGGCACTTTTCCATGGAACACTTTGATGGAGCGGAAGGAAATCATGTTTTAAATGTTTCAGTGCACATTTTTGAAATTAGTTATGTAAAAGAAACGTATGATTAACTACAACATGGGTAAAACGAATTATTTTTAGTTTTATGCAAGACAAAATTAGTAAAATAAAAGAAATATATTAGCAAGATTTGGAATATTAGTTAAATATGGAATAAAATGATTATGTATTAAATGATAGGTCCTTCGGAAAGAGGGTAAAAGTTGAACTTAATTCAACGATGGTGAGCCATTATCAACCGAGAAAGTACAACCCTCGTGGGTGAAAAGTGTGAGGCGGAAATGGAAAATACGAACTACGCCGAAAAGAAAATCCCTGCTCGGGAGAATATTAAATTCGGGGCAGACAAAGTTTCATAGAGCATATGGCGGGGTGAGACCTAATAAACCACGCTCCAGTGAGATACTGGATCCTAACCCAACTCCCCCTGCAAAAGGGAAGAATACAATCGCACGTATTCCTTTTCTCCTGGCCTTGTGTTTGGTTTTATTGTTCACGATTCGACACCTTTAAGAGGTGTTTGCTCACGTTCTTTCCGCCATGAACGGATCGGCGGAATCTCCAAAGTAAACGTGTTAAACCCTTTGAAATGCTAAGCCTGATCAAGTTGCCAGTCCGTTCCAAACTTAATAATGAGAAAGCTTTTTCGGTTAATTTGGGCCAGTTTCAGATTTCTAATTTTGGAATCATGGAATGAGAGCACTATCTTAGTTTTAAAAGAAACCTATCTAGAAAGTAATCTGTTCTAATTTGTAATAGGACAGTTTCATTTTTATTGGGTTGTCCGGAAAATAATGCAGGATTTTGGTATTAAACAAAAAAAAAGAAACTAGTTACTTTAAAGCAATGTTCTTTAATCAAAATANCATACAAATGAGTAATCCTGTAAACGTAAACAGAATATTTTATATAGATTTTTTTTAATGAAAACTTAAAATCCTGCATTATTTTCCGGACAACCCAATAATTTGGGGTACGAATTAATAAACCGAGTATGATCTACAGGTAGGTGCTATTTATACGTAAACTTTTTGGAGATTTCTTGTTTTGCAAAATTTAAAAAAATGAAGGTAAACAGGTAAATTTGAAATTAAAAACAGTTAATTTGAAGTTAAAACTGTTTAATTCAACAGGCTAATTTAAAGTGAAAAAGGGTTAATTTGACGGAAAAAACCTATAAAAATTAATGAATGAATGAGTATTGTTTTATTTCAAAATCTATTACATTTTGGTCGTAAACTGCTTCTTTTAAAATTGTAAACAATAACTAATAAATATAAAGCCGAAGGGGTTTATTTTTGTGATAATTAATATAATTTGAATGCTATAAGTCGATAGTTAAAAAAATATGATAGAAAACTATTGTGCAGAATCGTACTGTATCAGATTATGTATATACATATTTTCAGCTCAAAGAGCCTTACACAAAAATGTCTTTTCGATACCGACATCTTTCCCCACCCCTTCAAAATCCAACGTATATAAACACAAAATATCAAAATCTCACTGGCACTCTCGACACGACACGCAAGAATGGCGGAATTACACAGAAGACTAACACTTTGAGTGAGTAGAAATACTTTGATTGGATATAAAAAAAAAATGTTTTGCATAGTATAAATTCACCTTTTTCCACATCGTACATGTATTTGTTAAATTTAAACAATGATTGTAAATCCCAGGTCCTGAAGATGATCTCAATAAAGATCGAAACGTTGGCACGATAAAGAAAATGTTTTTCTTAAACCTACATCACACCAGACCGCATCTCACGATTTCTAAATAAATACAAATATCAGATAATATATATAATCTGATACAGTACGATTCTGCACAATATTTTTCTATCATATTTTTTTTAAATATCGACTTATAGCTTTCAAATTATTTTCACAACAAAAACAGAATCTTTTGAAATAAAGTGAGTAATATAACTAATGCATTATTTTTCGCTTTTAGGGCTGATTGGCTCGAATTTTGTAGTGATATGTTCGAATGATAATCAGAAATTAGGATAACATTTCATTGTGAACCTTGATCCTACGTCCTTATCCTGTTTCTGTTAACATTTTTATATTTATTAAATTTATTAAAATTTGTAACATTATTTACAACATATGAGTTTTTTAAATTTAAACACATGCCTTGAGGAGCCGGCCGTTGCTGGCACTCTATGTGTATGATTAGGGGTCAAGATCAGTTGAGGTGACGTGCTGGGCTGTCAGGATGGGAATGAATGGAGAGGTCTCGAGCAGTATGAAGTTTTGAAATCTGGAGAGGATTCGTTCGTTAACAAAATGAATGTTGAGGTCTTTGTGGACAGTGAGGTTAGTGACATAATCAGGTGTTTTAACAATTTGTCTAAGGACATTCGATTGGAAGGACTGGATGCGCTGGATATTGGAAGGTTTGTCCCCACAGTTCCACCCCGTACGTCGATATTAGTCTTAGTAAAGTCTTGTACAGTGTTAGTATTGTCTTAACTGTCAAAGTCGGTTTCGGTCCCAGAAGTGTCCTTAGTAGTCCAAGTCTTGCATTAAGATTCACTTAATTAAGGTATTAAGTTGAGATAAAAAAGTCAGTGTCACCAGCGGGATTCGAACCCACGACCTTCGGCTTGTTACGCCGCTACTCTACTACTTGAGTTATCGTGACTTCGATCCCTTGGGCACTAAGGTCGTGGGTTCGAATCCCGCTCTTGACACTGATTTTTTTATCTCAACTTAAAACCTTAATTAATTAAATGTTATTAATTGGTCAAGCGGACCATAAAAATAGTGAATTGAATTCTTTCATTAAGTTTGTTTTAGTCTTGTGTGGGGATTTCACGTCAGTCTGCTGTCGAGATATAGTCCCAGAGATTTGACTTGAGCGGAAACTGGTATCTCTTTGTTGTTGATGTACAATGGAGGGCAAGTCTGTTTTTTCAGCGTAAAAGTACACTGAGTGCATTTTTATTCGTTTAGACTTGTCATCAATTTTTTACACCAGTCTTCAAAGCTCAAGGTGTTCTTGGATGTTGGAGGAAGCATAGACAGGATCGAGTTAAAGGATAGGATTGCGGTGACATCCGCGTAGGTGGTGAAAATAGTGTCAGGATGTATTGGTAAGTCAGCGGTATAAATGATATATAGGATAGGACCAAGGATACTACCTTGCGGTAAACCGATCTGTATCTGTTTGACATTCGAGAATTCATGCCACACCTCACTCTGAATCAGCGATCAGTTAGGTAGGATTTGAATGAAAGATAATCATGAGAGAGTAGGAAGCGCTTAAGTTTAGAAAGTATGCTTCGATCCCAGACCTTGTCGAAAGCTTGTGCTACGTCTAAGAACGCACCCACGCAATACTCTTTTTCTCGGGCCGATGAGATGGTGTCGACTACTATAAAACATTGTTGGAAAGTGGAATGTTGAGAAGGGAAACCGAATTGGTGGTAGGGAATGATTTTGTAGGTAACAAGGATTGGTATTTAGCGTTTTAAAAGGGTTCATTCTAGGATTTGGACATTACATGTAGCGGGCCAATAGATATGTAGTATGCGATCTGGTTAGGGGGTTTAGTGCGGTAGATTTCGCAGGACACTGTAGGTGATTAGGTCATGACCAGCGGGCTTTTCTGCATGGAGATTTGTGGGTACGGTATTTAACTTCAGAACGATGAACAGGTTTCGGAGGGTGTTGGAAATGATCAACCAGCTATTTTCATGACTTAGTTGGAGTTGCTCCGAAGCGGTTGTGCGATCGGGATGAGAGGATAGCACAACTGTTTCGCCTGCAAGGTATGCAAGAATGGTGGAGGGTGAAGTTGGGACATCTGTAGTCTTGAGCTGTTAAAGGATCGGTCCAAATACATAACCGTGAGGTACACTGCGCCAGAGGTCTCTGTAATGTTAAGGAAATGCATTAACTGTTGTGCGTGAGAGGTATCATTTCTGACCCAGAATCCGTTTGGTGATCGGATGGGTGAATGGGCTATGTGGTATTTTAATACTTTTTTGGTAGCGGACAAGAGGGAGGTGGCTTGAGTGGAAAGGGATATTATGAGTTAAATTTACAAATGACATAGTTCATATGACGATAGGTAAGTTAACAACCATTGTAATTCTCCCAGCTGTACGCAAGTACTAATCCTCGTTCTGTAGGTCGCGTGGCCATCTTCTGTTCAGTCGTCTGGTGTTATTATAAGGGTGGTTTTTATTGGATAAGGATTGGGCAACTAGGTCCGGGTGAGAGAAGAATTTAGTGTGTAAAGGATGTTGTTGTAAATGTAGACTTTGGATGTTGGAAGTTGAGGTGGTTCCCCACAGTTCTACTCTGTAAGTACTGATTGGTTCTTATTATTTTCTTGTAGATTGTCAGCTTGCTTTTCATTGAAATGTTAGATTTGCGCGACAGTAGATTGTAGAGTAGTCCGAAACGTTGGTTCCAGATTAGTCTTGAGTCTAGATGGAACCTAAGGTAGCACACGCAGTCTGATTTTGGAATGTGAGTATTACTGAGGAATGGAGGGTTTGCTTCGAAGGATACATGGGTGTTTCTGTTTTCTTTAAGCTTTACACGGCAGTGCTTCAACCGTTCGGCTATTTTCATGACTTATTTGAAGTTCCTCCGAAGCAGTTGTGCCATCGGGATGAGAGGATAGCACAGCTGTCTGAAATAAATGCAAGAATGGTGGAGAGTAAAGTTGGAATTTCTGTAGTCTAGAGGAGGTAAAGGATCAGTCCAAATAAATGGCCTTGAGGTACTCCTGCGTCCAGATATCCCTGTACATAAAAGTAAAAAGAAGTACAAAAGGATTTCTCGTCATACGGAAAAACCTAGTATTCAACTTGTATATCGTGGTAACAAAATTTCCAATTAGAACGATTGCAATTATTTACTAAAAAAACGAGAGTGGCTACTTTTATGCATATTATTTTTTATGCGTATAAAATCTCATATCTGAATCATATTTATCATCTGTGGTCTGTTGATCGTAAATATAAATGTTCAGTTTACAACACTCAAAAACTAAACCAATATAAAACAGGGTACTTTTTTGTTCATTTCACATTACACCCCATTTGCCAGATTATACGAGAGGAATAAATAATTCCGAAAACGCAAAACGATTTATAGCCCTGCAACAAAGGACTAAAGGGGCGGCAAAAAATATTAAATCCGCTAGGCAACAGGGAGGAAATCCGTTTCTATTTTTAATTTTTCATACTTTCAGTACGCAATAGGTATAAACGGTCAAAGGAAAACTAATTTTTTCCATTGAAACCTCAATTTACTTTATTCAAAAGCAGACTGTGTATTTGAGTAATCCGAAAATAGAATATTTTTTTACAATGATTTACAGAATCAAGCTATAAAACAAGAAGTTGAAAAAAATCAAAGGGGCCTCGGTTAAAATCAAAGTTAACTTTACAATATTTAATAAGAACCCCCGTTGATATTTTTTCACGGCGAATATAAATATTTAAAAAAACTAAGTCGCTGTTCATTTCTTCTTAATAAGCATTTCATAAAGCATACTAATAAACTAGCTTAAATGCTATCAAATAAAATACAACAATAATTAAACAAATAAAATTTTATTATATGTGGATTAAAAGTTCATCTCAGAATAAAATGAAAAACAAAAAATTGCAGCACATCTAAGAAACAAAAATAAGGTGGTTTATTATTGTGTTTTGAACTAAGGAATATATGTCAAAGTCGTTTTTCGAAATCACCAGCATGTAGGCGTCAACGAAAGCAAAGTCTAGCACCTTCTCTGCGAAGTCTATTTTGAGATACATGCCATATATCATTATATTCCAAAACCTTGGACTTCCTCAGAACTCTACGGGCATAAGACGACTTATTGAGCTACAGTTAGTTTTTAATTGCGTAGCGTATCTTCGAAAGAAATATGAGAATGTCAAGTGGAAGAGATTTGTATTTTTGATCGTGGGACAGCTAACCGAATAAAAAGCTGATTTTATTCGTCCATACAAATCAATAACACAGTTTCTCAAGAACCGAGTTTATTTATGTACCATACCTTTATCCAGTTTTAGAGAAAGCGATATACCACGGTGAGAAGTAAACCAATTTTATCCAGCAAATAATGATCTTGTCAGTGAGACGGAATTAAGGACATCGATATTTGAAATGGTTTGTATGTGTTGTACAATGTTTAAGTACGCTCAAATACGAATTAATGAAAAAGGATATGATAGACCATATAACATGGATTAATTTGTAATAGACAAAATAAAATATAAATAGTTTGAAAAAAAACCCTCGAATTTTACAGTTAAATAAATTATGCCAATCGAAAAAAATACATTTTACGTGTTAGTATATTTTTATGGTTCTTATATTTTCTGTGTCGCTGTTGCCTCTGGGTACTCAACAGAAAGAAATTGCACATTTAATAAATAAAACGGCGAATATCATTATGGAAAAGCCGGCAAACAACAGTTCTATTTATGAAAATGACTTCGGACCAAGTCAACGTCTCTGGAATCTCCGTTATAGAAAATTCCAACGAGCCAAAATGACCGAGCCGGGCAAAATATTAACTCCACAATTTCTGGGGCACCGTTGATTGCGGATATTACATTATCAACCCCTTCGCCAGTCGAGAAATCGATAAATGCCCAGTCGAAAAGTTTATCACGAGTCTAATCTAAATTAGAACTTCATTTGAAAATCCATCAAGTCCCGATTCATAACCAAATAATGTTACATGTCTCTATTAGAATATCTCCTCTAAGTCGCAAACCCAGTAGTAACTAAAATGGCATCAAATTAACTAAATGATAAATTAAACTCCATAATTTTGAGTGATTCATAAAAATGATTGTATTATATAATAAATATTTAATTATCAATGGGCTGATTATGCATACAGAAAAATACATATATAAGGGTGTGAATTAATTGCACTTCAGACTTTAATATGAAGAACTTTTGGAATATGCTTTAGAAATTCATACTTTTTAAATTAACTTTACGCGCCATCGTACCTTTACAAAGGTTTTTCGGCCATTCCAGTCAACGAGATTTAAAAATTTGTTTTTTCTTTTTCCGCCAATCACCTAGGTTTGCTTTTTACGAAAGACCGCAGAAAATACAGTGGGAGCATTAGCGCTTGGGTCAGATCCTGAATTTCATTCACGGTGTTGGATGGGGCGTCCGATAGATCAAGAACGATAGCCGCTCTCCTGGGCCAGAACTGTCGAAGTTGACTTCGGATAGACGGGTCGTTTTAAAATTCAATCTGATATCCGACGCATATATCCTGGAAGGCCAGCGCTCCGGGTTTTTTTTTCTCTTAGATAAATCGTTCAGGCACAAATTTACTTTGAAGAAGGTCCGGCAATGAATTCTCGGAAGTCAAACAGATATAGGCTGGTGTACTACAAGGTAGTATCCTTGGTCCTATCTTATATATCATTTACACTCCTGACCTACCACATATACATCTTGACACTATTGTCACAACACATTCCTATCCTCTAACTCGAATCCGGTCCAAGCTACCTCCAGCATTCAGGAACACCTTGAGCTTATCGAAGACTGGTTTAAAAATGAAGAACATTTTTAAAAACCATTCAAAAACTTCGTTCCAGAATTAAATATCCCACACCAATAACAAATAAATCTGACGTAATTTACAAAATCAACTGTTTAAACTGGCTGAACACGACACGCAATAATGGCACAATTATGCAGAAAGCAAACACTGAGTGAGTAGAAATACTTTGATTGAATATAAAAAAAATATATTTTGCATTGTATAAATTCACTTTTTTCCACATCCTACATGTATTTGTTAAATGTAAACAATGTTTTTAAATCCCAGGCCCTGAAGATGATCTCAATAAAGATCGAAACGTTGGCAAGACAAAGAAAATGTTTTTCTGACACCTACATCACACCAGACCGCATCTCCCGATCTCTGAGTAATCTAGAATATAACTTAAAATCTGACTATGGACAATGCAGACGTTTTCGTCTCATTTGCTATTTAGAATATCGTCGTAACTATTGTCTCTTCACCGGACACACTGTTTATATTTCAATTTTGAAGATAACTAGTTAAGGTAAAAAGAAAAATGAAACATTGACACTGAAAATAAAAAAAGGGAACAGCCAGCGGATAGTCTTCAGGAGTGCAAATCACTCTATAGAAGGACTGGTTCTTCCTCGACGTTCAGAGAAACAGAAAACTAGAAGAGCAGGACAGGGTGGACCAAAGTCTACAGACAGAATTAGATTCATCCGTTACCAGCCTTTACGAAACCACAACATTACGGGAAATGAGCTAAGGAATCTGACATGACCAGTTCGAAATATTTTCGTTTCGTCTAGAAGACTCAATGAAAAAACGCCCAGGGCAGGGCACCCAACTCGTGATCATTGGAAGATTGGGGACGCGTTCTGTTTATAGATGAGCTGAGAGTTGGCCTCAAATCTTCCGATGGGCAAAATATCATATGGAAACGGTCAGGTGAAATCGAAAGATTTTATGGTACGATCCATGCTGTATGTTTCCTCAGGTGGCATTCCACGGTCGGTCATGTGCAGGGATGGCATTTTCTTGGACGCCCGCACATAACTAGATGTTCTGCGAGGATGATCTCTAACTTCAAAAAGGTACTTACAAGACACAATCGAAGAACATGTAATGCCATTTGTCCCCTCCCCGACATCAGTGAGAGATTCTTGCAAATGCAGGATAATGCCAGACCCCCTAGAGAACATATTGTGGATGACTATTTCAATCAGGTTAATACTGAGTCTTTGGAGTTGCCAGCTCAAAGTCGATTTGACCCCAATGCAACACATTTGTTACCAACTTTACCGACGAGTACGACCTCAAGACCTAATTTGACAAGCGGACCACGAAAAACATGGAATTAGTATTTAAGTAATTTTATCATCATATTTTAAAAAAATTGGTTTTTTACACTGTTTTAATATGTTCTGTAATTTCTTGCTATGATTGTGATGATAATAGTATAATCTATATGGTACAATAAATTTTTACAATGTACGATTTGGTAATTTTGTTTTGAATGTTCAGATAATCATCATATTTTATGAAGTTTACATGTTTGTTTTAAATAAATACTGGAAACATCTTTGTATTGTTTTGGTAGTTCAAACCAACAATACATCATCACTCAAATAAAGTTGGTTAATTGCATTTGGTTGTGTATGGCGCCAAACTTTCCTCGTTCAATTTGGCTTTTTCCGTACAAAATGGATCTTTCAGATCAATTACCAGAAATTGCACGATAGACGGATGCAGTACCGTCGGAGTTGCATCCTGAAATCTCTCTCTCGGCAATTTGAACAATCTCAGCTTTCCGTTTAATCCCAGGCACCTCGAAACTAATTTTCATACAGATTAAATATCGCCGAGATGAAAATTCTTTTTTAAGGAAAAATTAAGATATTAACTAAGGTTAAAATAAGAACAGGAATAAACCTTTTCCAGGTAGTGTTAGAAAAGGGTTAAATATTAATCTCTTCCCGTGAGCACACCTACGGCTGTTACGTCGAGGAATATTGGCTAAAGCAAACAAAAGTTTTCTTCTCCGTTCTGAACTTCAACCAAAATCGACTGTAAAGGCGAATTATAAAATTACACTGTGTAAACCACGAACATTTTTATTAAGCTATTTTATAATATTATGTAAAAATATTTCATATAAAGTCTTGGTTGAAATGAGAAAGTTCGTGCCATGAGCGGGATTCGAACCCATGACCTTCGACTCAATACACCGCAGCTCTAACCTTGAAAAATGACAAAAAGGAGGGAAATTTCGAAAGGTTGTAGGTTGGGATGGGAATTTGGTGTCGGAGTGGATCGTAGGCACGATAACTCAAGTGGTTAGAGCAGCGGCGCATTGGTCGTGGGTTCGAATCCCGCTCGTGACACTAACTTTTTCATCTCAACTAAAAACCTTAATTAATTGTAAGATATTAATTGGTCACGCGGACTACTAAAACTAGTAAACCATATCACTATGTTTTCCTCCTTGTATTTCTTATAGAAACAGTCTTACTCCCTTTTAAAAATACCCTCCATCTTCCCTATACATAAGTCCATACATAAAAAGATTAATTAATTGAAAGAACGAATTTGTTCAATCAGACCACTAGATTTAGTGGACTAAATTTATTATAATATCATGTGCATAAAACTCTAATCATGATTTGTTGTTGTTTTTCGCACATAATCATTATAAACTTTATTCTATATACATCACATTTGAGCTATTGGATCACAATACTATTCATTAAATCAAATGAAATTTACGTTTTGTTCTGGCTGGTCGGGAAATCGATGAGTTGTCATGTCGATCGAATAAAACGCGTTTTGCCGATTTTCACTGGATATATTTTTCCTGGAAAAGGCATGTCTATTGGCTAGAACATGGCAATTAGCCGAAATAG